CCCCCCCCGGCCTCAGTTTAAAGTGTTCCGGATGAAGCTCGCTAGAGCATCTCCAAAAGACCTTTTCCCCATCCTCGTGAGGTGTAACCCGTCCCTTGCCAGAAGTCCATTGGCAAGAAAACGAGTGCTGTGGTCGAGGAACCCGAAGCGTTCCTTCTGGCACCACACCCTAAGCCAGTCGTTCACCTCGGAGACCCTCCTGTCCCTGCCTGGCCCAAATCCCCGGACCAGTAAGATCAACGAGAAGGCCACTAGGGCCTTCAGCGCCCCGAGTTTCTTTCCCAAGGCCTCGAAGTCCCTGGTGGTCCCAACCACACCCTGCCTGGCCACGTCGTTTGTGCCCACATGGATCACCAGGAGCGGCTGGTGACCCCCCAGAGCGAACAAGACGCTCCACTCTGTCCTTCACATGCCGGATGCGTGCGCCCGGCAGGCAGCAAACCTCCCTTGTCTCCAGGTTGGGGCGGCACACCCCGCCTCGGTGCCCCTCAGCAGGGAGTCCCCAGCAACAATCACCCTCCGCCGTGTCTTCCTGGTGGTGGTGGGCGGCCGTGCCCTGGCCCTCGCCTCTCCCGCAGCGGCCCCCTTGCCGCCTGACATCCCAGGCTGGGGGTCCTGCTGGTCCCCGAGGCCTCATCAGCCTCAGCCTCCCCAAGTGGAGAGAACCCCCTCAGGCCGGTGGCCCCACCTGTCGGCTTCCTCCTTGCCCCTCTAGCCCAGCCCCCTTCCTCTCTGCTGCTCCTGGACCTCTACTCCCCTTGCCTTCGCCAGTCCCCTGGCCACTCAGCACTCTCTCCCAGCCTGTGCCTCTGCTGCTCTGCTGCCCTGTCAACCATCGCCTTGACTATATGCACTTTTGTTGGCAGGGTGACGCCTCTGCTTTTTAGTATGCTGTCTAGATTTCCCATAGCTTTCCTCCCAAGGAGCAAGCGTCATTAATTTCTTGGCTGCAGTCCCCATCTGCGGTGATCTTGGAGCCCAGGAAAATAAAATCTGTCACTACCTCCATTTCTTCCCCATCTATTTGCCTGGAAGTGAGAGGACCAGATGCCATGATCTTAATTTTCTTAATGTTGAGTTTCAAGCCAAATTTGCGGTCTCCTCCTTCACCGCACCAAGAGGCTCTTTAGTTCCTCTTCACTTTCTGCTATGAGAGTGGTGTCATCTGCATATCTGAGGTTGTTGCTATTTCTCCCTGCAATCTTAATTCCAACTGGTGATTCATCCAGCCCCGCCTTTCTCATGATGTGCTCTGCATATAAGTTAAATAGGCAGGGCAACAGTATACAGCCTTGCCGAACTCCTTTCTCGATTTTGAACCAATCAGTGGTTCTGTGCCCAGTTCTAACTGTTGCTTCTTGACCCACATATAGGTTTCTCAGGAGAGAAATAAGATGGTCAGGTACTCCGATCTCTTTAAGAACTTGCCACAATTTGTTGTGATCCACACAATCAAAGGCTTGAGCATAGTTAATGAAGCAGAAGTGGACGTTTTTCTGGAACTCCCTAGCTTTCTCCATGATCCAGCATATGTTGGCATCTCTATGTTGATCTCTTGTTCCTCTGCCACTTCGAGATCCTGCCGTACCTCTGGTAGTTCTTGGTCCACCTACTGCTGCAGCCTGGTTTGTAGGATTTTCAGCAGGGCTCCTCAAACTTTATCAACGGGGCCAATGGAAAGGCACTGATGGGGCGCACGGGCCGGCGAGGGCAGGACGGGGGGGCAAGGAGAGACGGGGTGGGCATGTGGTGTGGGGCGCAGTGGGGCAGGCAGGCGAGGCAGTGGCTTGGCCCCTTGGGGATTGTTTTTGTGGCGAGGCAGCGGTGGGCACGCGCAGGGTGAGCCAGGCGGTGGAGGACAGGCGTGTGCGCGGTGAGTCCAGAACCGCTGAGGTGGGCCGGATGAATGGGGATGGCGGACCGGATCCGGCCCACAGGCCCTATTTTGAGGACCCATGATTTTGAGCATAACTTTGCTAGCATGTGAAATGGATGCAATGGCGCGGTAGTTTGAACATGTTTTGGCATTGCCCTTCTTTGGAATTGGAATATAAGCTGACTTTTTCCTATCTGGAGCTACTCCAGAAAAATTCCAAGATCCTTCTGACTTGTGGTATCATTGACCTAGTATTCCGCAGCTGCATTAGGAAACTGCATTAGGTTTCTTTTTCCTGGTGTCTTGGGAAACCGGGCCTTGCTCCGTATTGAAGTTCTTCCTGCTGTTTTCAGCCCGGGGTTCCAGCACCTCCAGATCCCCTTGGGTCTCCTTCCGCCTCCCACGTTCCCTGTCACCCTGGCCCCTCTGCTGCCCTCTGCAGGTGTGATCATTGCTCCCTGCACTTCCTCTTTGGGGTCATTAATACAGGGAGCTTGGGGTTGGGTTTTCGGTGATGGCCTCAGAGCAGGGAGACCCCGTGGCAGAGCTTCCCTCTGGTACGGAGCGGGCTCAGTGCCAAAATGCACGGCTAGGAAGGCCCCGGTGTCTCTGCCTCAGGGTCTTGCAACGTCTGTCTGTCTGTCTGTCTGTCTGTCTGTCTGTCTTCTAGATATTTGGCAGGGAAGTCAGATAAAGGACAGACACGGAGCCCTGTGCACTGAAAAGGCTCGCTAGCGAGCCTGCTTCCAGACGTGGGCCGGGCAAATCCGGCTGTGGCACAGGCTGTTCTCGCCCCCACCCACCACGGCCAATGGGCAGAGCTGGGCAGGACGCAGCCCTAAGCCGACCCCGAAGGAGCCGTAGCCTGTGCAGCTGCAAAGCTCTCCCCTGCATCCAGGCAGGCGCCTGCGGCAAGCAGCTGCGCGCTTCCCTGTGCATCCGTTGCGGCTGCTGGGGCCTCGCTGCGTGACGGGAGCCGCTCCTGCGTACAGTGTAAGTGCCTCAAGGGCTCGCAAACCCTCCTCCTGAGCAGACCCACATCGTGCCCATCATCCCTGTGGGATCCCCGGCACCTTTGCGCCCCTGCAGGGGGCTCAGCCATGTTCCACTGCAGGCATCTCCTCGTGGGCTGCACACATTCCTGCCTGGGAGTGTTGGTGTCAGTTCCAGGGTTGCTGTGCGCTCGATTGAGTGCAGCTGTGTCAGCCTTTCTCCCCTTCCAAGCTTTTCTTGTCTCTTTCCTCCCAAACAGATGAATGGTAGGAGAGGAAAATGATATGGATCCCTGCAACAAATAAGAAAAAACCAGTGAGCATGAAGTGAGAAAAGAGGGAATTCCAAATTAAAGGATATCAAAAGAGCACAACAAAACCAAATACAGAACAAGAGCAAAACATATGATATTACTCAATGTACTGCAAACACTCACCATTCCTTGAAGTCACGGAAAGAGGAAGGGGAAAGAATCTTGTTTTTGACAAATTACCGAAAGAGCGGTGAATGAATGGATCCAAATTGTAGCAAGGAATGAGGCCAAATGAACATGCAGAATGCTGAAAGAGCATCGAACTAGGGACGAGAGTTCATCAACTCCTGGCGTGCAGAAGCCCTTTGAACCCGTGCAGTGTGGAAAGGGGCTCAGAGATAGCCGAGGTTTAGTGAGCTTCACTGTTCCAGCACTTTGAGGAAGCCACTTCAAGTAATGGAAGGAAGGCTGAGCTTAAGTGCTGTCGGAAGGCTTAGAAAAAGCGGCCGGGTGCAGAGTGCAGAGCAGCCGTCGAAATGCACAGAATGTGGGAAGAGCTTCAGTGGTGCTGGAAATCGTTCTGGGCAGCAAGGAAAGGATGTAGGGGAGGGGCCAAACAAGTGCATGGGATGCAGGAAGGGCCTCCATGAAAGTGGAAGTCTTACTATATGTCAAGGATTCCGCACTGGATTTGCACCATATTCATGTATGGAATGTGGCAAGAGCTTCAGTCAAAGTGGCCAGTTTACCATCCATCAAAGAATGCACTCTGGAGAAACGCCATATACATGCATGGAATGTGGCAAGAGCTTCATTCAAAGTAGTACTCTTAATGAACATCAAAGAATTCACTCTGGAGAGAAGCCATACACATGCATGGAATGTGGCAAGAGCTTCAGTCAAAGTGGACATCTTACTATCCATCAAAGAACGCACACTGGTGAGAAGCCATACATGTGCATGGAATGTGGCAAGAGCTTCAGCCACAGTGGTACTCTTAAGAAACATCAAAGAACACACACTGGGGAGAAGCCATACACATGCATGGAATGTGAAAAGAGCTTCAGTGTCAGAGGAAATCTTACCAAACATCAAAGAACGCACTCTGGGGAGAAGCCATACATGTGCATGGAATGTGGCAAGAGCTTCAGCCAGAGTGGTACTCTTAACAAACATCAAAGAACGCACACTGGGGAGAAGCCATACACATGCATGGAATGTGGCAAGAGCTTCAGTGAAAATTTCACTCTTAACGAACATCAAAAAACACACTCTGGGCAGAAGCCATACACATGCATGGAATGTGGCAAGAGCTTCAGGCAGGGTAGCAATCTTGCCTCACATCAAAGAACGCACTCTGGGGAGAAACCATACACTTGCATGGAATGTGGAAAAAGCTTCAGCCACGGTGGTACTCTTAAGAAACATCAAAGAACGCACACTGGGGAGAAGCCATACACATGCATGGAATGTGAAAAGAGCTTCAGTGTCAGAGGAAATCTTACCAAACATCAAAGAACGCACTCAGGGGAGAAGCCATACACTTGCATGGAATGTGGCAAGAGCTTCAGCCAGAGTGGTACTCTTAAGAAACATCAAAGAACGCACACTGGGGAGAAGCCATACACATGCGTGGAATGTGAAAAGAGCTTCAGTGTCAGAGGAAATCTTACCAAACATCAAAGAACGCACTCTGGGGAGAAGCCATACACATGCATGGAATGTGGCAAGAGCTTCAGCCACGGTAGCAATCTTACTACACATCAAAGAACGCACACTGGGGAGAAGCCATACACGTGCATGGAATGTGGAAAGAGCCTCAGAGACAGAGGAAATCTTACACGCCATTAAAGAACGCACACTGGGGAGAAGCCATACATATGCATGGAATGTGGCAAGAGTTTCAGTCAAAGCGGATGTCTTACCATCCATCATAGAACCCATGCTGCGGAGAGGCCGTACGCATGAATGCAATTTAGAAAGTCTTCTGTTGGAGCTGAGACCTTACTGAACATCAAAAAACCCACACCAGAGATATGACTTTCAAATGTGTTCAATGAACAATGAAGGGATCTTGTGTGCAAGATCCATGGTAAAGATTTTATCCCAGTCCATGGTTACTGGTAATGGCAAACTCCATGCTGGAGAACAGAAAATAAACTTTCCAGGAACTTTCTCCTATTGCCCAAATGCTTGGTGCATCTTCATTTGGTGTTTTGTGTCCTTTTATGGATGCCTCACCTGGACATGGACGTTGTTGACTTGGGAAGGACAAAAAAGATGATTGAAAGGATGGGAAAGGTGAGGCAGGGGCTGGGAGATCTCTCCAATGAGGGTGACATCTTTGGGGAATTTTACTGTAGGACATGTAGTTAGTCTACTAGTGCTTTTTAATTGTTTACTCAGGTCTTGTAGAAGTTATTGTTATTTTAAATCTGTTCTAAATGTG